TGTCCAGGAAGGGTTCATATTTTCATAGTTGTCGATTTTCGAAAGAAATCAGTACATTTATTTTATTTCGTATATTTTTCATTTTATTGATTTTATGGAAAGCACTGTTCATTAAAATGTTGTATCCTATGTTATAGGGCTTGTTTCTCTCTACAATTTCCTGTCTCACAATGTACCGTTGGTGTCCAGGAAGAGTTCATATTTTCATAGTTGTCGATTTTCGAAAGAAATCAGTACATTTATTTTATTTCGTATATTTTTAATTTTATTGATTTTATTGTTCATTAAAACATTCTTAGGGCAGTTGTTTTTAAGCACAATCCAGTGGCGTAGCAAAACCAACGTACATGTCAAGGGCTCGATTTCTGAGACATGATTAATGGCATAATCCGCCTGTCAATAATTTTACTGCCAAATGAAATACGAGGTCTTTTTAAATTTTTGACCATTTTGAAAATTTAAAACATATGCTTCTTATTTCGCAAAATAATAAAATTCTGTAAAAACATTCTTAGGGCAGTTTCTAAGCACAATCCTGTGGCGTAGTCAGTTTGTTTTCTAAACTTAATCGTTTTATCAGAAATTAAAAAGAATTTTTAAATCAAAGAAGAGTACGGAACTAATGACGTCTAGGGTTTGACCTCTGACGTCAGGTCAGCCAAAACTATCATCGAATGTTACTCCCCAGCCGTCTTTAAAGCCTTTTTTTCGATCGTATGATATCTTTACAAAAATAGAATTGACTTTACATTTTATATTATTTTTATAATTATTAAACTATTATGGTGCCCGGTGGCGTAGAGGTACAGCTCTCGTCTACCAATTCAAAGGTTGTGGGTTCGAATCCCAAAGTCCGCATTTTATCAGCCGACTATTTTTTTATAAGCTCTGTAACGTTTTCTTGAGACAATGCAAACGGCAGCTTTTCGTCTTTGCGAGCACTCGTAGGTTCGTTTTTTTTATTTTTTTTTATTAGGTGTTATAATTAATCAATAAAACAATAATTATTGGGCGCCAGGACATTCACTCAGAAATAATAATTAATAGATCTGTTTACCCCAACTTAAATTTATTTATAATTAAAAAATATTAGACAAGGACAGTAATTGATGGAATAAGTTAGGTTTTTAAAATTAATTAATAATTAAGAATAAATAACAAGTAATCAAAATTTAAATGTATGACATAAAAAAAATAGTATCACTTGTTCTGTTGATTAAAAATCATTGATATATTAATATTAAATTACGCAAAATAAAGTTAAATAAGTACCTCAAACTAATGCAGTTCATGAACCTTGTTGTATGCGCACATAATTCCGTAAATCAATCAAAAGTTAATTAAATAAATATGTCACAAGTGACACCATCACAAAATACTTGACAAGATATTAAAATATATAAAAATTTGTATATTTAAAATTAAGGAAATTATATTTTAATAATGAAATTCAAAAATGATATCTAATAATTACATAATTAATTACGTAATTCGTCAACAATAAGTAAATAGATTTGAAATGAGTTAATAAAAAAATTTGAAATCTGGGCTGATTATCCGGTGCAATTCCAGGCTTTGGCTCGTCCTTCTGGATGGTTTGTGGACGTTAGGTGTGGGAGCTCATCCCCAATCTACAACAGCCTCGAACAGCCCCTTACAATACCACCAGCCATGTGGAAATCAAACATGGATCATAGATACAGGCTCTCGTACCTCAAACCACCAATCACGACATATAACTCGCCATGTAACTGGACGGTAAAACCCTGGAAACGACACAACTTATTCACAAAATGCATTTTAGCAATTTTAGAACTTACCTCACGATGCTGAGGGTTTACTCAAAAATTAAATTCATGACAGGACAACCAAAACTACGTTTAGAAAATCTGTAAAGAGATAAGGTTGAACCAAAAGAATAAAAATATTATGAAGATCAAACTTACCACCAAAATACCCATGAAAACTTAAAAATGATTCCTTCCCCAAATGCCAGGAACAATTAGGACTACATTCCAAAGGTTAATAGAATTAAAAAGTTTAAACTTTTTCGGATGACTTCAGATAAGTATGTAGATGTTTAAGCCACGAAATCTGAATCAAAAATGGTGACTTCCGATAGTCAAAATGATGGTCTAATTCTGCGCCGACAAGGGCAAGTACGATCAACAGAGTGTCCGAAATTAGTCAGAACTAATTCGGTAGGCTGTATGTTGGCTTGCCAATAGTATCGTTTTATTAAAACGTTACAACTCTTTGTAGTTGGGCCCATTGTTATCTTTTGTTGGCTATGCAGGCCTAAATTATCACTGCTAATTTTTTTTAATATCATGGTCTCATCTCAGCTTTGGTCTTCTTCTAGGTCTTTTAATTCCTCGGTGGATGCTGTAATTTTTGTGGTCCATCTGTTGTCCGTCATTCTTGCCAGGTGTCCTGCCCATTGCCAATTGAGGGATTTGACTCTGTGATGACAACTTATTTCCCGCATATTTTGTAAAAATGATGGCAAATTATGTTTTATTTATTATGATGGCTGTATTACAAATATGCTGTATTTTTTGACACTATTTATGGATAGTATATATATTTAAATATTTGTTTCTTTTAATTTAGGCATTGAAAATTTCTAGTAATTACTTTCGTTTACTGGTAGTAATGTTAACAATATAATATATTGAACAAATAAACACACCGGAAAAGTCTTACTTACCGGGATATTACAATTTTATCCAGCCATCGTCAGTAATTTTATTATTTGCAGTTCTGATATAATAAAATTAAAATAAACAAATAGTTTACAGGACGTATTGGAAATAAAAATGCGAAATTTACCGAATTTTTCAAATTTACCTTGATTTTTATTGAACTCAAAAAAATATTCACATTTTTTTTAATTCTAAACTGTGAATTAAAAAAAAAGATAAAACCATTTTTACTTAATAAAGGGTATGGCCTCCTCTACTGTTCATTACAGCCCTACATCGTCTCTCCATGCTCCTGATCAGATTGTCGATCTCTTCTTGAGGTACAGCCTGCCACGCTGCATTCACGGTCCGAACCAGATCCCTACGAGTTTCACGAGGCATACCCACTCTCAAAATTCTTCTTTGGACCGCGTCCCATACGTGCTCGATGGGGTTGAGGTCAGGAGATTGTGTGTAGATACCCTAAGCCTTCTCGAATCCGGATGAATTCCAAAGCGTGACTCATCCGCGAAGAGAACATTGGCCCATTGTTCATTCGACCACTGAACATGATCTTGAGCCCACAAATATCGTCCCTCTCGATTTCCTCTCGTTAAGGGTTGAGCTCTCCAGGGGCGTCTGCTTCTTAAGTTGACCTCTCTTAATCTATTGCGAACAGTGTCAGGACTAACGGTTACATTATGTGTTTCCTGGAGAATTAAACTAAGCTCTGGTGCTGTAAGAGTCGGTCGGCGTCGAGCATTTAATTGTTGAAAAATGATCTTGCTGAGGGGTAGTAATGCGATGTCGCCCTGTGTGCCTTTCAGCAACATCACCACTTTCACGGTAGGGTGCACTTAATCGCGATATTGCACTTTGCGTTGTATTTAATGCTCTAGCTACGTTGATTTGGCGCATTCCAGCTTCGAGCATACCCATGGCCCTTAGCATTTCGTCTCTGTTAAGAGGTCTACGCTCCATAATGTCGTTTTATACTAAACAGAGTTATTTGAATGAATTCTGGCCGTTCTTATCATAAAAACATAGCCAGTAGAGGTTAAACTCGAACAATTGATGCTAGGTGCTTTTTATACATTTGACAAAAAATGCACAAACATTTCTGCAAATATCCCAAATTTAGAAATAACTAGTGTGACTACTTCGTTTCAATCGAAGCAGAAAGAATCGGCCTACAAATATGTGGTTGTTTATGCAAAACATTTATTTTTAACTTTAATAAAATGATATCCTTAGATTTGTCCGGTGTGTGTATTTGTAATATCTTATTAGCTATAGAATGCATTAATTTAATGTTATACTAAAAACTGTAAAATGAAAAACGAAATCTTAATCGAATTTAGTTCGTAGTAGAAACAATATTTATTATTTATTATCATTAAAGGGTAAGAGGACAAAGAAATCTAAATAACGCACTTCATCCTATCGCTTGCTAATGTATTCAATAACACTTTACGGCAGTTAAATCAGTTATACTAAGTATTATGGTTGATAGTCTACTTTCTCAGTAGATTTATCATAATAGTATAGGCATTAATTAATAGTAATTCAATAAATAATTATTATTTGTATTAAAATGATTCCATCTTAATTACTACTATAAAAATACTATTTAATATTGCAATTATGCCCCCAAAAAATACATAAAACACTTATATGAAATTAAATTTGAAATATTATATCATCTTGGATCGACATTGTCTTTAATTACTAATCCTCAAGTAAAATCTAAAAAAGCTATTGGATAAATACTAGTCGGGTCACTGGAAAATGTTTTATGTATTGGCACATGAAGGAATCACTATAGCATCAACTCCTTCAGATAAGTGATGAGAGTTACATGTTTTTGATGTCAATAATGGGTCTTACTAATGATTGAGATTGTTGTGTATTTTGAATTTTCTCCTAAGACTCATATTGGTAAGGATTTCTTAGTCACGCCGATATAAAATGTAGCACACTGAAACATAATTTTGTAAATACCGTTGCACTGATCTATGTTTTTTTAGGTTTCATTTTGCTTAAAACACTTTCAAATTCAAAACCTTAGAAACTGTTATAATTTTGTACTTCGGGCCAATCTTCTCTATTTTTTCACTGATTCCTTTATAGATTACAGTTGAGGGTTGGAACCTTTGGTGTTACACAGCAAAATAAAACACTAAATCACCACAATACACCAAAACACTTTTACTTTTACACTGGACGCGCGTTTCGCTTACCATGTTAGCATCATCAGCAGATGATTATAAACTAAGCTGATTATAAGCTAAACTTAGGTTTATAATCATCTGTTCATATTTTCATAGATGTCGATTTTCAAAAGAAATCGGTACATTTATTTTATTTCATATATTTTTCATTTTATTGATTATATGGAAAGCACTGTTCATTAAAATGTTGTATCCTATGTTATAGGGCTTGTTTCTCTCTACAATTTCCTCTCTCACAATGTACCGTTTGTGTCCAGGAAGGGTTCATATTTTCATAGTTGTCGATTTTCGAAAGAAATCGGTACATTTATTTTATTTCGTATATTTTTCATTTTATTTATTTTATGGAAAGTACTGTTCATTAAAATATTGTATCCTATGTTATAGGGCTTGTTTCTCTCTACAATTTCCTGTCTCACAATGTACCGTTTGTGTCCAGGAAGGGTTCATATTTTCATAGTTGTCGATTTTCGAAAGAAATCGGTACATTTATTTTATTTCGTATATTTTTAATTTTATTGATTTTATGGAAAGCACTGTTCATTAAAATGTTGTATCCTATGTTATAGGGCTTGTTTCTCTCTACAATTTCCTGTCTCACAATGTACCGTTTGTGTCCAGGAAGGGTTCATATTTTCATAGTTGTCGATTTTCGAAAGAAATCGGTACATTTATTTTATTTCGTATATTTTTCATTTTATTTATTTTATGGAAAGTACTGTTCATTAAAATATTGTATCCTATGTTATAGGGCTTGTTTCTCTCTACAATTTCCTGTCTCACAATGTACCGTTTGTGTCCAGGAAGGGTTCATATTTTCATAGTTGTCGATTTTCGAAAGAAATCGGTACATTTATTTTATTTCGTATATTTTTCATTTTATTGATTATATGGAAAGCACTGTTCATTAAAATGTTGTATCCTATGTTATAGGGCTTGTTTCTCTCCACAATTTCCTGTCTCACAATGTACCGTTTGTGTCCAGGAAGGGTTCATATTTTCATAGATGTCGATTTTCGAAAGAAATCGGTACATTTATTTTATTTCGTATATTTTTAATTTTATTGATTTTATGGAAAGCACTGTTCATTAAAATGTTGTATCCTATGTTATAGGGCTTGTTTCTCTCCACAATTTCCTGTCTCACAATGTACCGTTTGTGTCCAGGAAGGGTTCATATTTTCATAGTTGTCGATTTTCGAAAGAAATCGGTACATTTATTTTATTTCGTATATTTTTCATTTTATTGATTTTATGAAAAGTACTGTTCATTAAAATGTTGTATCCTATGTTATAGGGCTTGTTTCTCTCTACAATTTCCTGTCTCACAATGTACCGTTTGTGTTCAAGAAGGGTTCATATTTTCATAGTTGTCGATTTTCGAAAGAAATCGGTACATTTATTTTATTTCGTATATTTTTCATTTTATTGATTTATGGAAAGCACTGTTCATTAAAATGTTGTATCCTATGTTATAGGGCTTGTTTCTCTCTACAATTTCCTGTCTCACAATGTACCGTTTGTGTCCAGGAAGGGTTCATATTTTCATAGATGTCGATTTTCGAAAGAAATCGGTACATTTATTTTATTTGGTATATTTTTCATTTTATTGATTTTATGGAAAGCACTGTTCATTAAAATGTTGTATCCTATGTTATAGGGCTTGTTTCTCTCTACAATTTCTTGTCTCACAATGTCCCGTTTGTGTCCAGGAAGGGTTCATATTTTCATAGTTGTCAATTTTCGAAAGAAATCAGTACATTTATTTTATTTCGTATATTTTTCATTTTATTGATTTTATGGAAAGTACTGTTCATTAAAATGTTGTATCCTATGTTATAGGATACAACATTTTAATGATTTGCAATAGGTTTCTCTCTACAATTTCTTGTCTCACAATGTACAATAATGGATCTTACTAATGATTGAGATTGTTGTGTATTTTGAATTTTCTCCTAAGACTCATATTGGTAAGGATTTCTTAGTCACGCCGATATAAAATATAGCACACTGAAACATAATTTTGTAAATACCGTTGCACTGATCTATGTTCTTTTTAGGTTTCATT